ATGATTTATTTCAGAATGCCAGGAATTTTCTTTAGTCCTTCAATTCAAAGGCTGTCTTTTGCTATCTTACTCACATAGATTCATTTTGTCACAATGATAAAGCAAAGGGACAACGAGAGCATTCTTCTGAAAATAAAAAAAAAGTGCTCGTGTTTATTGTGTCTTTCAGGAGCTCACGGCAGTTCAAAGGCACATGTTGGGTAGCACAAGAACATTTGAAAGTTTAACAAGTGAAAATGAAAGAATTGGTGGATAAACATTCAGCAGGAAGAATGCTTCAAATGGGAGATGAAGTATTGGTATTGTTGTCATTGCAAGGTGAACCTCTGAAAGTGAAATTCAGTGATTCGTATAAATAGTTAGAAGGTTTAATAAATGGACTTATCTAATAAATAGTCCTCATTGAAAGAAGAAGAATCGATTATGTCACGTAATCATACTGAAAAAATATCATTGTAGAGAAGAGAATAAGGTGCGCGCCAGGTTGTAAGAGAAGTAGAAGCAAACTGAGATAATAAGAGTGAGGTTGCATGAGTGGTCGACAATTCTCAAAGTGGACTTCCTATAATTTGACCAGCTAACCCACAATATTCTACTGTAGGAAAAAATATTTTAGAATTGCTGTTGCCTCTTCAGCACTTGAAGTCAACGTCTGAGATGGAAACAAGGAAACATTAACTTATACTGATCATTATGCATTTTGAAAGTTTAAAAATTGGACTACGAGACTTTTCAGATCAAGCCTTTTGTTGCAATTATTTAATGTGAAAATTATTCATATTACTGGAAAAGATAATAGAAATATAGTTACATTATCCCAAATGTAAATGTTAGAATAGGTTAAATGCTAGAAAATTCTAGCACCAAGTAACTTTGCATAAAGGGGGAAGAAGAATATGACTTGTTTTGTTGTGTATTGAAAGTTTAACATTTTTGAAATTGTGTTTCATTTCCGTTCAGGATGTGGAAAGGCAAGGACCACGTCTTTTTATATTTTTGTCTTTAAAAAACTGTGGCAAACAAGGAGAAAGAATGTTTTTTGAAAAAAAGAGCAAGAATTAACCAGGTTGGCTACATAATTTCAAAGCAAGGGAATCAATGTCAATTGTGAACTCTGCTTTTTGGGGCTATGGATTCCTGCAATGTACAGATGATCAGGAGACAAAGAGTTGTTTATAGGCGAACCTGATTGGCTCTTAACTAATTGAGCAGTTTGGATTTGGAATCAAGTTTCAAGGTACAGACAGAGAGAGACAGGAAGGAAAGAGAGAAGTGTGTGCTGTTCTCTGCAGCAGAAGTTGCTTATCTTCTGCAGTTAAAAAAAACCTCAATTTAAAGTTGAAGAAATCCAGTTACCTTTCCTGCAGCAGTTGCTGTGACTTTTGAATTGAAAAATCAGAAATACTTTCCAAATGAATCAGTCCCATTCTATTTGTGTGTGTGTGTGCGTTTCATTAATCATGTTACATGCCTGAGGTTTATATTTATTTACGTGTAGCTACAGTCTAAATACTCATAATAAATAATAATTCTTGTTTAATACAGAAACCTCGTTTGTGCTTTCTATCTACCTTGGTCTGGATATGTGGCAAATTGGGGTACTGTGCTTATCTAAAAGACAATTTTAACATTTTGTATAATTACAAGAATAGTGGGGCTAAATTTACAGTGCTACCCAGGTAGATTATGACAACTTCCAAGTCAGGCCGGTGAGTAACATGAAAGGCAGCTTGCAGTAGGTAGTATTCCCATACATCTACTGCCTTTGCGTTTGTACGTGGTAGTATTTGTAGGTTTGGAAGGTGCTGTCTAAGGAACCTGTGGAGTTGTTCAGTGCATCTTGTAAATGGTACACACTGCTGCCCATGGTGGATGGAGTGGTGTGGCTCTTTGATGTCCCACTTGGTCAAAACCTGCCTCAACGTGAACAGTTTATTTCTGTAAGACTCTACCTCACTTCTGTTTAATAATTCATTGACAACCAGAGCAGAAAACCAAAATGAAATTACAAAAATATGGCACGATTAAAAATATTAGTAGAACTGATCACTGCTCCAAAAATCAATTAAATTAAAAATAAGAGATCAAACTTTGCCAAAATCATTAAGATCAAGATTTTTTTGGGAGTGTTGATAGCATTGTTAGAGGATCTGGATTGAAGGAACAAAGCTGAATTAATACACACTTAGAATGTTGGAGTGATCCAGAACTGGCCTCACTTTCAAGTGCAGAAGCTACTTCACTTCCCTCTGACATGATATCATCGAGTTAAAGACGACAGCGTAGAAACAGGCCGTCCAGTCCAATTCCCCCATGTTAGCAATTATTTCCTAAATAAGCCTCTTCCCACCCACCTTCATCTAACTCGATTATCATTTCTCCTTTGTGTGTTTATCCAGCTTCCTCCCCAATGCATCTATATCATTGTCCCCTTCTCCACTTCACAAAACCATCAGCAGTCATTATTCAAACTGAAGTTATTGAAGGTAAAGCCAAATAAAATAAAATAACAAAATAAAACTGTTCCATTCCCTTCAGTTATTTGAGTGCTTCAAACCATAAAGCCTTTGCTCTTGCTCCAGGTGAGTACATTCACTAGATTCTGCAGCTTTTGGAATAAGCGATCTGTTTAACCTCTGAAGTTTTTAACCCCTCCCCTTTAAAGTGCGACAGTGGATGGATTACGGGAGGTCTGTTCAATTCAATAAGAAGCTCAGTAACAGTGGCTCGGTAGTTCAGTGGTTAGCACTGCAGCCTCACAGCGCTGGGGGCCTGGCTTCAATTCCCCCTTGGGCACCTGTGTGTGTGGAGGTTGCACATTCTCCCCATGTCTGCGTGGGTTTCCTCTCGGTGCTCCGGTTTCCTCCCACAGTCCAAAGAGGTGCAAGCTAGGTGGATTGGCCATGCTAACTTGCCCTTAGTGTTCAGGGATGTGTAGATGAGGTGGGTTTGGGGAATGGCTCTGGGTGGGATGCTCTGAGGGTCGGTGTGGACTTGTTGGGCTGAAGGGCCTGTTTCCACACTGTAGGGATTCTATGGACTATGGACAAGCTCTACTCACCTCCTGAATAAATCAGGCCACTTAGTAATCCTATCAGAGTGACACAGTGTTCACCCTACAGCACTGTATGCTCTCCTCACCATGACTAACTCCTTGGTGAAGGTCCCAAGGGACAATTTCTGTACTGGGAAGCCACATTTCCTTATCCCTTCTTATACTGGTTTTGGACCACTGAGAGTAGGAGAATTCAGACCCAGTTCTACTATATTGAATGTACAGAACACAAAAATACCCTTCAACTCTTTTAAAAGGTGTCTGGATAAGCACATGAGCCTTCCTTTATCATTTGCTCTCATTTTGAGCAGGTTCATTCATTAGATTCCGCAGCCTTTAGAAATGGTATTCTGATTAATCTCCCTGCAGGGCTACACACGTAATGCCAGAAAAGAGGGATGAGACTGGGTAGCTTGTTCTTTGGCTGGTGCAGACACGATGAGCCAAGCGGCCTCTCTGTATGAAAGCTTTCAACAATTCTAATTTACAGCCCACACGAGCCTCCTCCTTCACCCATCAGCATGTCCTTCTGCTCCATTGTCTGTCATGTATTTACCCTGTTGTCGCTCAAATGCATCTATCCTATTTGCCTGAACCACTCCCTGTGGCAACCAAGTTCACATTCTCCCTGCTCTCTGGGTTAGGACGTTTCTTCTGAATTCCTGGCTTGATTTATTTCTGACAACTGAATAGTGATTGCTCCTTTAGTTACAGTAGTCTATGTGTCACATCAATGGGAATGGGTGGGGAGAGTGTGAAGAAGAGTTTATGTTGGTTTTTTCCAGCTTGCCTGCCTTACTCAAGGGGAGGCCCGGTGGCTCAGTGGTTAGCACTGCTGCCTCACAGTGCCAGGGACCCGGGTTTCATTCCACCCTCGGGCGACTGTCTGTGTAGAGTTTGCACATTCTCCCCGTGTCTGCGTGGGTTTCCTCCGGTTGCTCCGGTTTCCTCCCACAATCCAAAGATGTGCAGGGTAGGTGGATTGGACAAGCTAAATTGCCTGTAGTGTTCAGGGATGTTTGGGTTAGACATAGGAAATGCAGGGGTAAGGTAATGGATCTGGGTGGGATGCTCTTTGGAAGGGCGGTGTGGACCTGTTGGGCCGAATGGCCTGTTTCCACACTGTAGGGATTCTATTCTATTCTATTCTATTCTTACTCAGGAGACACGGCTCCTCAGGGTGTAGGGAGCTTCTTGATGTGATGCAGAAGGTAATAAAGGACTCTGAGAAATGTTGTTGTTCAGAGAATGGAAGGTGGAACTCACTGCCACAGGGAAGAGTTGAGGTGAATAGTGTTGATATATTTAAAGGGAGCTGGATAAACATAGGAGGGAGAAAAGACAGGATGTTATGTTGACTGTAGTGAGACCAGGAGATATGGGAATACGCTTTGCTCATACAGTAACTTCTGGCATATTAGGTTACTCAGCCCAACGACTCCATGCCGGCTCTATGAGGGAGCAATTCAGTGAGTCTCACTTGCCCTCAATCCCTGTAGCCCCTTCAAGTTTATTTCCTTCAAATTCCCATCCAATTTCTTTTTGGAATCACTGATACATGCCTTAAATATATACAACTCTGCCCCTCAGTTCTCTGTTAAGGAGTTCCAAGGATTCTCAATCCTCTGAAAGAAGAAATTCCTCCTCATCTCAATCTTAAATCAGCGCCCCTGTATTCTGAGACTATGCTGGTGTTCACCAGAATGACATTCACCAGAACGTCTGATCCTTTTCGCTAGTGGTCAGTTAGAGGCTGGCTGTTACTCAGCTGATAAAATCAATAGTCGTGTTTCTGCTTCGCAACCAATTTGTGGTAAATTTCACTTTTTTGCAGAGGAAGAAAGTCAAATTTAATCAATGGCAATTCTTCAGAATGGTTTGATTTCTCAACGGAATTCAGTGCGTCACTCAGCATTCCACAAAAAAAAACTGGAGCTAGATTTACCATAACTTTCATAGAGTTCTTCACTTGTTCCATGTCCGTAATCGTAATACTCAGCGCCACTGTAATAGAAAACAAACACGAATGACAGCTCAAGACAACTGCAAGAAAAATTAACATGGTATTTGTAATTAATATTAGTAAGTGTTACAATGGCATTATTAATGATTATTAGTAACAGTTACCATGGGATTTTAATGATTATTAGCAATAATGATCACTGTGTGCAATTCTTGTTCATGGTAAATGTGTTTAATCAGTATCGATCTACAGCTATCAGAAATCATTGAGTGTAACTGTTTGTTATAGTTTTTGGTATGATTATTATCAGTAATTGTTATCATTGTATGCCTAATTATTTATAGCAATAGTTATTATTGAGCATAATTCTTATTAGTAATAGTTATTGTTGATTATTATTACTAATTATTAGTTTGTATTGTTTTTATTTGATTATTATTAGTTATTATGGGTAATTCATGGTCATTATATAGTGTGTAATTATTATTAGTAATTGTTATCACTGTATGTAACACTGAGTAATAATAGTTATTGTGCATAATTATTTTCAGTACTGGTTACCTTGATCATTCTTATTAACTGGCACCTATGGGACCAGGAGTGTGCCAGTTGATCAAATATTCTGGATAATTAAGAGGTCCATGTAATCAATGTAAAAACACACACTAAGTCACAGAAATGTAATGCACAGGGTATACACATTACTGTTATACTCTACTAACAGCAAAAATCACTTTACTAATAATGCAACTTTGCCTTAAATAAAACTTACGGGTAGAGAACTTCTCACTCGCACCCTCAACTGACTACTTGCACATCATGATAGATGGCGGTATTTGAGGAGAATTTGACTCAATATTGAATCAACTGTTGGTATTTCATGTGGCCATTCAAATGGACAACAAAGGTATTTATGCTGAGGTAAATAAATTAAAAAATATAGTAACTGGACAGAATAATACAGTTTATAATTTTTGCTGGTTTATCAAGAGTGCTGCTTCATTAGGTGCTGGCTAAACCAAAGTTTGCTGTAATAGGTATTGTGTGTAGCTATGATGAGCAATAGTTATTACTGTGTGTAATGAAGCATTATTGTTTTTAATTACACTGAACAGAATGCAATGCGTCACTCAGCATTCCACAAAAAGAAAATGGAGCTAGGTTTACCATAACTTTCATAGAGTTAATAATGATGATCATTTATGCTTGATTACAAGGTAAGCCTTTGGACCCTATTATCGAGTAGAATCACTTACTAGCATATAAACAAGGACATCAGTTCTAACACTAGGACCATTAAGATCCAGTTTTGTTTGATTCTCTGACTTGCACTGATGCTAAGCAAGGCTCCAGCATGGGTGTATAGTTTCAGAGCTAATCTACTATAATTTTCAAGTGGATACTCGATTGTTTTTAAAACATAGCTTATTTATTGTTTCTTAGTCTTCCTGTATCAATGTCGTGTTGTCTTCTTCGGACTGGCATGAGAAGTTGATTGTTGCTGCTTTCTCGGTTGCATCTGAGATTGGGTACTGTGATGGAAACAGTGGTCTGGGATAACACATCCTATCTTCATTCAATATTAACTGTGGCTCAAGTAGTACGACTCATGTCTTGGAGACAGAAGGCTGTGGGTTTACTCCAGGGATGAGTAAATACTACAAACTACCCTTCAGTACAATACAAAGAGAGCCCTGCACTGTTGCAAGTGCTGTGTTTCAGATGAGACAGCAATCTAAGATTATGTTTATCCTCATTGATGGATGCAAAAGATTTCATGGCAATACTTTGATGAAAAGCAATGACCTGGTCAATTTTGACCTTTTAACCAACACATACATATAAATTGCATGGGAACACTGCCACCACTCCAAGTTCCCCTCCAGTTCACACACCATCCTGACTTGGAAATATATCCCTCAGTGTCATTGGGTCAAAGTCCTGGAAGTCCCTTCCTAATGGCACTGTGGGTGTTCCAACACTCCAAGAACTGCGGCAGTTGAAGAAGACAGTTCACCATCACATTGCCCAGGGCAGTTAGGAATGGACAATATATGCAGGCCTTGTGATGCATGCATGAACAAATGAAGAAGTTATTTCCATATTATCACAATAGTTTTGGGGGGCTTTTAAGGAAAGATAGTCAATGTTAAATAATTGGTTTTATTTCAGTTGTAATCAAGCAATGTAAGCATTTTAATTATGTTATTCTGCTTAATTGCAATCAATGTAAACCATGAGTAGCACATGACTGTCCTTTTGTCTGCAGTTCACAAGTGAGGTGCAGTGCTATAATTTATGCATTTAATACACAGAGGATCTACAAAACCTATTAAGGTTGAAAGAACAAGCTCCAGAAACAGTATCAAAAAACTTATGAGGTATCTAGTATTATCCATCCAAAAGAAAATTCAACAACTTTATTGTGTAGAATAACAGCTGTGAAATATCAAGTGTTTAGCCTGTGTATTAACTTAGCTTTTTTTAAACTTGTAATGTTTTCAAGAGAGCTCAATGCAAGATGTATCCCCACTTAACAATTGATTTTTCTGATAGTTTTGCAATTAGTTTTGCAGCTGCATAGTCCTTTTTAACTATTATAACTTATGATTACATACGAACTAATTATCCAAATGTATTTGCAGTTTATATATACATAGTTTAGGTTTTTAACTCTCATCTACTTTAATTTCTGTCTTAGTTTTGAAATTATTTGCAATTTTGTTGCTGTGCCATTTTTTTTATTAAGTAACTTTATTTCTAGCACCAACAGCTACTGATAAGCTGCAACCTCAGTGACAGTTGTACAAGGCACAACATCTTGATACTTCACGTGGGACAATGGCCGAGGTTATCAATCAGAAGGACATGGCAACTCACGTTCTCTTATCCCAAACACGGGGCAAAGGAATTATCTAAGGGGAAATCATTAAATTTAATGAAATATCAGAACAAGCTGGAATGAGGGGGATAGATCTCATCAGTAATTGAGATGTTAGGGAACCAGTTAATAGATGACCCTGAAGAGACCAATCAGAAATTGATCACTTACGATGCAATAATCCAAAGAGAGAAAGAGAGAGAGAAAAGATCTCATTTCAACAACTTTTCTGGTCCACAGACCAAGATAGGGAACTGTTCAGGAAACAACACCGCTAATGTTGCCTATTATGAAGAGATGTGAGCTAGTTTTGCAAAAGACATGTGCCTTGAACTTTTAAACAAAGGACACTTTGCTAAGGAAGAGACATTGGGCACAACAGCAACCATTTTGTACCTTCATGGAGCAGGGAACTTGGATAGAGTAATTCAGTTTGGAAGACTTTTGGAGAGAGATCACATAGCCCAGTTTGTCTGTGGAAATTTTGAACACAGTGAGAGAGAATTTGACTTGCCTGAAGAGTCACAGCTATCTCTCTCTTCTTTCAAGCCCCTTACAGCAAAGTATGTGAGCTGAAAATCCACCAGAAGGTATCTTTACCACTCCTGGGGATTCCTGGAGAGGATTCATTGGAACCTATCCCACTATCTCCAGCAAGAAAATTCAGCCAGCTACAACTGTTCTAGGTAGACAGCCCAACATCCAACATCCTAATTGTGCAGAATATCTTTGGAATCAGAACAACATTTGGAGCAATTTATGACTCAGCTTTTCTTCAAGAGTTTAATTATTACTTGGCCAAAGTACTTCAAAGTGAATACTCCGCAGAGGTTTTATTTTCAGATGTGTGTGTGGTAGTTTTTTTTCTGAAAGGATAGATAAATATATTTGCATAATCCAAGCTGTTTGTCAATAATCCAATAACCTTTGCACCTTTAGAGTTTAAGTTTACTTTTGGGTCATAAACCAGTTGTTTTTGTTAACATAAAGACACCTGGCGATTTGTTCTTAATACTGAATTTGACCCAATGGGAGAAGCCATATCTGCAGCCTAGTTCAATTTACTGTGTGTTGTGATTCATGGAGGAGAAGAACTAGATAAGGAAACAGAGATCCCCTCCATGCTTGGTTGTAATGGGTCAGTTTGACTTAAGAATTTGCACTGTGAACCACTACACAATCTTTGAAAATGCTCACTAGCACAGTTTTTGCCATTTGAACTTACGACAGATGGGTCCCCATTTTATGTTTCCCTGACAATTGAATTTGAAGGTGAAGGTGGGTGCATAAAATCCAGTGGGTATTATGCTTGCTACCTGACCACTTGACCCTGCCCCACTGCAATTAAATATAAGACTGTGTGAAGTGCCACGAAGCCTGTCAGTCCTTAGGCTACATGAGGCCCAAGTAACCAAACAATGACCACTTAAGAGCCTGATACTGCTGCTGCAGGTATGTGTTACCCATGGCTGCCTTGTGCTGCACTTTATAAACTCCCTCCATCCTCGAATCCACTGACTGTGGAACAGGGAGTCACAGCTCTCCAACTATGTCACATTTGTGACTCTTTAATTTTAACACGATTAACAGAGAAAGAGTAGGGGGCCATTCAAACCGCAACCTATATTTTAATTCCAGTTACCTGCCTTGCTGAACAAAAATCCAAAAATTTCAGAATTTTGAAATTTTTAATTGACCACTGTTGAAGAATATCATGGTTCTGAAGGGGGTTAATGTTCATGTTATATCATGTCCACCCATTCTACTTATGTCATACAGTCTTTAGGTAGAGTCAATGAGTTCTGCTCTAGTTTTCAGCAGGAAAGGGTGTATGTAGTAGCTACCTAAGGTAATAGTAATTATTCTTGACAAATGTAGTTCTTTTTATTGCTCTCATGCTATAAACCTCCTTATTATGCAAGAACAGCCTGTAGATATTCTAGAGTGTTGTATACTCTACTACTAATTACTAGAAAGGCACAAGATAATGGAGGATTGGTGTCAGTGAAGTATCAAAAAGAATGCCTACCCAGTACCACAAACTGGTTGACGTGGTAAGTACCATGAGGAGTGGTAATCTGGGAAAATACCACAATTCCTAGGTTTAACAGGGTTTTTGGGGAGACAGTTCCAGATTTCCACTCCCCTTTGTATGAAGAA